TCTGCCCCAGACACTGGCATCCAGATCCACATGAGTCCTGGGCAGGGTAGGGAAGTGCGAGCCAGCTTCTCCAGGCCAGGCACTTTCACTAGGAGGCAACAGCGCCCCCAGGCGACCAACACTGGTTCTTGACGGGAATGACAGATGGCAGTCCTGTGTATTAAGAACACACACAGAGCACACCAGCAGAACCACAGTTATGTGTGGGAGGCTGTTAGGAAAGCGATGTATGAAAAGGCCAGTGACCATAATGGAAAACAAGGCTGAGAGACCAAGCTCTTCGGCACGGAGCACTGGCAGGGCCACCCTGAGACGCTCGGTTTTTCTCTTTATTTCAAGGGACCAGTTCATCCCTAGAGCGGCCCCTGACACTCAGAACCCAGAGTCCTGGGACCCATTTGGTTCCTCCAGTCACCCTTTTGCCACAGTGAATGGTTCTGTACCTTGCCTGGGGGACCTGAACCACAGGCCAACCTAGCAACACCGTCCCAAGGGGCAGGGTAGGCGGACAGTTACGGAACATTATGTTCTTGATTTCTGTCTCACACCGCTTCTCTTCATCTCGAGATACCTACAGCTCTATTATGGAGTGGATACAAACGTCACACAAACTCTCCAGGGACCAGGAGCGCCCATGTTCCCACACACTCCTGTGGCAATTCACAACTCTGCTGACAACCCCTCACCTGGGCCTCCAGGGGTTTGGGCAGAGGGTTGGAATGGGAATGCGTGGGGCACAGGGAAGGACTGAGGCTGCCGTAGGATGAGACTGTGCATTTCTCAAGTCCCTGGGTCTTGCCAAGAGAAGGTGGTTGGTGACAAGCTGGGGAGAGCAGTAGGGACCCAGCCATGGACGAAGCCACAGTTGAGAGTGTGGCAGAGGGCAGGGGAGAGGCATGGGCCATTTAGGAAATACAATTCAGACAGCATCCCCAGAGCTTAGTGATGGACCATGTCATGGGCTGGATGGTGACTCCCCCAGAGGTGTCCACATCCTGAACCCCACAAATTGTGCCTGAGGTCTTTGTAGATGTGGCTAACTTAAGGATCTTGAGATGCCATCATCCCAAAGCATATGGCCAGGCCCTCAATCCAGTGCTCAATGTCTTTAGAAGGAGTACGCAATGAGAAGACCATGTGAAGACAGAGGCAGGGGCTAGAGCAAAAGCCGTCAGTAGAGTTGCTGTGGAAACAGGCGAGTCTGAGTTCGATCCCTACAACCCACATGAAAAAGCCAGGCTTTGGAATACACACTGTAACCCCAGGGCTGGGGAGGTAGAAAGAGGCCAGCTAGCATAGCCTCCTTGGCGAGGTTGATTTCTGATCTCTGGCTTCCACAGGCACACACACATTCGTGCACCTGCATTCATGTGCACCCGAATACAAATGCACACACACACACACACACACACACACACACACACAGGCAAAGACCCGGTGACAGAGGCTTAGACCTCTGACCTATAGGACTGGGAGAGTCTGTGGCTTTCTTTTAAGCTCCCCAGTTGGCAGTCACTTATTACAGTAGTACAGGACTGGCCATTGTACCCAGAGTTGTGAGGATGGATGGGGTGGACCCATATGCCAGCACTAGCTTAAGTAAGGAGGACTTAGTTAGGCCCCATGAGTCCAGGGAAGGAGGAGGCAAGAGGCAGGAGACTTTAATTCCTTCATACCAACAAGCACCTCCCAAGAGAGGAACCCTCTGCAGTCCCTTGCATGTGGCAGGGGACCCACACAGGATGAAGGTACTGATGCTGGGTCATGGAAGCTCGGAGGGAGATGCTGCTGACACGAGGCCATTAAACACAGGACAATTAAAAATGTATTCGGCTTAGATTTCCCAGAGCCGTTTCCAGAATGTAAATACCAGACCTGTCATTAAAAATGTATTTATTGTGATTACACAAGAGAATTCTTGGGAGGCTCAGTATGCATTCAATAAGTGTGTCTTTAATAACCCCATTTAATGTGTGTTCCCTAGACAACAGCACCTGAACCACCCATCCCACAGACCTCAAATACAGACAGTGGGTAGGCAGCATCCAAGGGAAGACCCATGGCAGACTCTCTGCCTCTCAGTGCTCCTCACCGCATCCCAGTGTGGGTGGGGGAAGGACAAGAGCAGATGACACTCCAACAAGAACGTGATCAGGAACGTAGCAGGAAATGGCCCTCACCAGTAATCAAATGGATGTAAGCTGAACTAATGACAAACTGACAAGTTTTGGACAAGTTGTCAGGCAAGGGCTGGGAGCACTGAGCCCTTTCCCAACCACATGGCTTTTGAGTGAGGATCCAGGACACCAATTCACTTTTTCATACTCGGTAACCTACACGGTCAGAGTCATCCCAAGGAACAAATGAAAGAGGAACGTTCAGGTCCTGTTTTTCTCTATCGCCATGTCCACGTGGGCATGGCTGGGAAGTCAGAAAATCGGCTCAGGGACCCATGAGCAGTCAGTCATAAGGGAGACGCCGGTGATGCAGGACACGGACAGCATGGCAAGGTTGGAAGGCCCATTTATGAGTGAGAGAGAACAGAATGCAAAACTTGAATCCCAGTCCACTTAGACTATGTAAGTCTATGTACGGATGTCAGCAGAAAAAGTCATACTATAAACACAGAAAGTAATTGTGCCAGTGGAGGAGATGGGGGAAGTTTCTGGAAATGACTCATGTTTCTGCATTTTTAATAAAGCCGAAGAAACGTCTGTGGAAAGTCAGGGGTGAGCCTGGAACATGGAAAATTAAAACCTGTTGCTTTGCTTTGGGGAAAATCCAAATTTAGACAACACACCATTCTGGGGATGTTTTATGTGCTACCTCATTGAGGTTTACCTCCCTCTCCCACATTCCTCTCCCCCTTGAACAGATAGGGAAACTGAGGCCCTGTGGAGGAAACACTACCTCACCTGCAGCTCTGGGGTTTAGCCTCTGGGTTTCCCCATCTGCTTCTGAGGAATTTGGGGCCTGTCACTCAGGAGTCCCAGCCCCAGGAGGTCCCTTCTTGTCCCCCACACTCTATAAGTTTCCAAAGTAAGAGGGAACTACACCTAGCAAGTGCATTGTGTAAGTCCTAACTGCCCCAGGGACGCCATTAACTACAGAAACACACCTGAAGATACTCCAGTTCTTCTAGCCAAGCTGAAAAGCCACGGTGAGTGGAAAAAGCCAGCATTCTGGGTCTTCCCAGGGAAGGTGTCTGAGGAGATGGGTAACAGAGCAGCTGTGCTGGAGCCCCAGGTCTGAGGTAGCCAAGGACTTTGCGTAGAGTCCACAGGGCCCAAAGGGGTCCATCCATCATGGACCGTCCACCTAGCAGGAAGGCACTTCCTCATACCTGCCTTCCCCTGGGGTGATGCCTCGAAGCCAATCCTCTAGCAAAAATCCTCAGAGAAGTCAATGTCACTGGAATTTTTACATTTATTTATTCATTTGTGTTTGTGTGTATATATATACTTGTGAGCACACATGTGCCACAGTATGTGTGGAGGTCAGAGGACAACCTGCAGGACCTGTTCTTTCCTTTCACTATTTGGGTTCCAGGGATCGAACTTGGGTCGTGAGGCTTGGCTGCAAACCCCCTTACCCATTGAACCATCTCATCAGCTCTACCACCAGAATTTAATGCCTGCATTACTTCTGCCCTTATCCTGTAATGCTGGCTTGCCCCCTCCAAAGCAGGAGCATCAAGACATGTTGCCAGCGAGCCTCTGAACACAAAAGCAACAGGGTCACATCATGAGAGCTTGTCCTCTGCACAAGAATGTGAACTGTGACTGACCTTCACCCTCTACCCCCCACCCTACTCCCACCCTTGCAGTGTAGGAGGCAGACTGGTATGTCAGGAGGTGAGTTCAAGGTTGCAGGAACTGGTCTGGAAAGGCCAGGGAGGGAGTGACAGAAACCCAGCAGGGCAAGTGGCCTTAGCACCTCAGTGACCCGGTGACTGGGCCAGTTGGCCCCAGTAACACTGTCAGCAAAAAAAAAAAAAAAGACTCAAACTCCTGACACCATCTGAACACTTTCCTAACAAGGTGATCCTGATGGCTTGGGATGTCAAATCGCTTTGCAAAAGGCAAAACCAAAGCTAAAGGCAGGTGTGGCATCTCTTATAGACCAGTTCTGATGAGCAGGGCACTGGGGGTTCGGGCCTGTAATCTCAGCATTCAGGAGAAAGAGGTAGGGGGATGACGTATCGAACCCCAGGCTAGCCTGGGCTACAGAGTAAGACCCTATCTCAAGCAAACAGTCCTGATCAGCAGTTTTTTTCCAAATGCAAACTAAAACGAATTAATTACCACTGGAAAAGCGTATGCAGACGGCAAAGTGATTGCACACGGAGAGTTGGCTAAAGAGGTAAAATCCCCGTGGGAGGAGAGAGCCAACCAACGGCCTGAGAGGCCCTTGCACTCCAAGCAAGGCAGAGGACAAAGGCGGAAGCAGTTTCTACTGCGTCCCCTCCCTCTTCTCCTCTCAGACATCAAAGGAGGCCTGATGTCCTCCGGCCCAATTCACATCTCACATATAAAGAGATATCCCGCTTCTGTGGGTTATTTATTTACAGCTCTTTGACTAAGCCAGACAGAAAGCAAAATGCCTCAACAATGAGGCCAGCCTGAGCTTTGGGGGACTCATGCGCTGCCTGTGGAGTCCAGCGGGGGTGGGGGGATATTGTGCAGTGACCTGGATTCACGCTCCGAGCCTCCTCCTCTGGGGAGGAGACAAAAGGAACCGACAGAAAAACAACAGATAGAAAAGAAAAGCCAGCAAAGAAGCTTCGAAAAGTTGTCCATCCGCCAGCGCCCTTTGTCCCACTGACGAATCTCCTAATCCGCTTTCAACATCCGCTTTAAAGCCTTTCTAGCTACTGAACATTGGCGGGGCCACCAGTGGGTGGAAGCTGCTAGGGCTGAGCTGGGTCTCCACCTCAGCCATGAGACTGGCAGCTGATGACACACAGGTGTAGGACAGAAAGGCCCATCAGGCTGACTTACCGCCACAGAGAACTTTCCAGAACCTTTCCCATGTCTGCATGGTAGTACTTTGTCAGGATCAGGATGACCTGTGTGTCAACAGAAAGGAAAAGGTGGACATCAGCCAGTTTCAAGGTTCTCAAAGAAGGACACAATGACACCCCCATGCCCACCCCCACCCCCACATTTAGGGTCTCTCAAAGTCTCAATGCCTACTAGCCCTGCATCAGAGCACTGAGACACAGGGCTTGACTCTTCTGTTCAGGAAGACCCCGGGGACATCCAATCCATGAGATCCACCCAGCAGCTGTCACCTGGTGGGCATCATTAAATTCAGCCCTGGACAATCCCAAATTGTGACCAAAGGTTCATCGAGGCTACAGTCCCAGCATGCCTAGTGTCAACTTGAGGAGATCTGGAATCACCTTGGAGACAAGCCTCTGGGCATGTCTATGAGAGAGTTTCTACAATGGGTTAATTGAGGTGGGACAACCCACCCTAAATGTGGGTGATACCATCGCACAGGCTGGGGTCCTGGACTGAATAAGAAGGAGACGGTGAGCTGAGCACCAGCGTTCATCTCTCTGCTTCCTGAGTGTGGACACAATGTGACCAGCGGCCTCACACGCCTGCCCTCGTGCCTTCCACACCATGACGGACCATGCCTTCAAACTGTGAGCCCAGATAAACACTTCCTCCCTTAAGTTTCTGTCAGGCATGTCGTCATAGCAATGAGGAAAGTAACTAAAGCAAGCACCAAACACGCCCGGCGAACGGCTGAAGACAAGGCTGTCCCCACCAGTGCATCAGCGCATCCCCCGAAGCCCTTGGAAACAGCTGCCCCAAAGAGAAGCCAACCTCCGTCAACGGTGCTGTTGTTGCCTGTCCTGGACTGCAGAGCAATGACAGGCTGGGGAGGCAAGCGTGACAGTCAGAGGGGGTCTAGAAATCATCAGTGACACACTTTCCCTTTGTTGATAAACCATCCACACATGGGCCTCCACAACAAAGCTACGCAAAAGGAAATACTGTTCAGAAAATGAAAATACATGTGTTTTAGAGCACTTAAATGTCCTTCAAAACCCATGCATAGGGAAAAGAAAGAAAGAGGAAGGGAGGGAGGAAGGGAGGGAGGGAGGAAGGGAGGAGGAAGACGGAGGAGGAGGAGGGAGGAGGAGGAGGAGGAGGGAGGGAGGGAGGAGGAGGGGGAGGCAGCAGCTATAAGAAGCTGGAGAGATAGGTCAGTGGTTAAGAACACTGGCTGTTCTTGCAGAAGACCCAGATTCGAATCCCAGCACCCACATAGCAGCTAACACCTCTAACTTGTTCCAGAGGATTTGACAGCCTCTTCTGTCCTCCACAGGTATTGCATGACATGGGTGCACTTTTACCTACATGTAGGCAATTACATGCATACACATAAAAAAATATGAGGCAGGTGGAGCTCTGTGAGTTCAAAGCCAGCCGGGTCTACTTAGTGCGTTCTAGGCCAGCTGGGGCTATAGGGAGACCCTGTCTCATACCAAAAAAGAAAAAAATCTTTTGCACTTGCAACAGTTCTTCCAATTTAAAATAGTTTTCTTGGTGTGTAGGGAGGGAGGGAGGGAGGGAGGGAGCTACTTGGACAGCTCTGGTGGGAGACAGAGATTGATCCTCAATTACTTCGCTGGCTGCTGAATTCTCATGTACATCAAATTCCATTTCACTCACTGCCAGTCCATATTAGTAGCGCCTAACAGTCCCGTTGCCATGGGAACCATGAGAGGTGAAGCGGGACACCCTTGGTTCCTATAGTGGCCCATAGCCTGGTTATTAATTTGGGGTCACCACAACAGCCATGTTCACCCCACTGCCCCTCCCTTGTCAGGGCAGAACTTTCTGGGTGCCCCTTCACGGGGTGTTGCTGAGGCAGCCAGCCGACTGGCTGATCAAGTATCTGTCTTTCCCTGGTGATTAGAGCAGAGAGATAGGAGGAGAGGGTGTCAGGACAGCGCTCAGCTGAGAGTCAGCGATGATTAAAGGGGAAAGCGGGGCCTTGTCAGCGGAGGCGAGAGTGTCTCTATGTCTCTCGGAACAAAGCGATTTCCTTCCGTCAGTGCAGGGCCTGCCCAAGTCAGAGTCGATCCTCAGAACACATAGGCGGCAGATAGAGTGACAGGGCCTCAGTGGGCAGGAGACAAGCTTGTTCTTAACCTATTGATTTATATTTCATATGGTCTGCTGTCCCCAGGGGACATCTGAGGAGCCAGAGTGTGACAGTTTAGAAAGGATCTCAAAGTCAGTTTTTACCGGCCGCCAGGATAAAATGATCGTGCTGACCTGACATCCACAGACCAGACCTCCTGGGGTAGTGAGCACAGGTTTGCACGGGTTCTGTTGCTGTGGATAGTTCCTGAACACACCAACTTTACCCTCCCTCCTGGGGACAGTCCCCACTCAGAACTACCCCCACGCTACACCCAGACCCACCAGGCCTTTGCACAGACTGTGGACTCCCATCACCCTCTTCCCTTATTCCAGCTCTTGGTCAGCCTTCAGACCTCTGTCTATCCCACTCTGCCTCCAGGATGGCTCCCAGACCCCACGCTGGGTTCAGCTCCCCATGTTCCACAGCCCACCAAGCTCACAGCTCTGTCCTATGCATGAGTATAAGGACTTGTCTCGTCTCATCCAGTGCTGGGCACAGTGCCTGGCCAGGGAAGAATCACACAGAGGTCTCCAGGGTGATACACACCCAGGGTGCTTGTTGAAAGAAACATAGGCAGCCATACCCAAGGTAAAAAAGCTCATGACGCCAGGTGGGGGTCACTCCCCAACTCTGATCACACAGTCACAAGTTACCCTCCTTCCATGAAGAGAATATACCATGTGGTCCTTGGAGTACAAGAGAGCCGCTGCACCATCATCACCTTCACTCAGTAAGGCCAGTGGGATTTGGACTCCAAACCAGAGACCTGTGGTCATCCTTGCCGGGGACTCTGATAAGGAGGCCACTGAGACCATCTGGATCTTGGGGAAGCCAAAAAGCAGGACGTCACCACCTAAGGCCCCACCCTTGCCGTCCTCCATCTCCTGAACTGTGGTGATGAAGCAGTGGAGAAAAACCCACAGCTCCAGCACAGGCATAGCCACAGAGTAATGAGGGCCACACCCTGACGTGTCAGCACCATGTTACACATGTGGAGCTCCCCCACCACCCCCATGGCCGTATTGTTGTCTCTGTCCCACAGATGGAGAAACCTAAGCACAGGAGAGTGGTTTGCCAAACCATACACACAGTGGGCCGAGCTGGGACTCCATCCCAAGTCCTCCTATGTGAGCGCAGGCTCCTCGCTGCCGTGCCAAAAGCTTTTCCAGACGGAACTTCTATCAGAAGTGGTTTCAAGAGCTCAAAATTGTGACATGCCCTTCTAGGGTCCCAACTGGAAAGGAAACCTCTAGAAGCAGTCTCCTGGCACTGGTGGGGTCTCCACAGCTGCGGGTCCTTTGATCTGGGTGGAGAGGAAGCAGGAACGTCAAGGCTCTCTTGCCTGAGGCTGCCCACATCCATGCCCACAGGAGCCCTGTTTGGATGGCGGGAACGGCCAAGGAGAAGACAGGACATAAGAGCATAAGAGCAACTCCCTTGGGCGGCAGTGATCACTGCTCACACCTTCTTTCACCCTGCATCCTGTCTCACTTTTATTTCTCTGGAAGCTAGGGGTGCAGTGAAAGGATTGGTCCCCATTTATCAACAACTCTGCTTGGCTGCACAGGCCATGGGCTTAAACCCATCTGACCTTGACTGACACAGCTGGACTCACAGGGAGGGGCTGTTACATCTGTTCCCCTTTGACTGCTGAGGAAGTAGAGGTACTGGGCCGCCAAGAGACTTTCTGGCATCACACGGGGCACAGCCAGGACCTCTTGTGCCCAAGCCTGGAGCTCTCGTGGGTTCACAGCTCCTCACTGTTCCCAGTCTCAGCACAGGACATGAAGGTTTTTGTGGTCCCTTGAGGCACTGTCCCCCTGGCCTGGCCCAGCAGTCAGTCACCCTGAAAGCCAACCATGACCCTAGTCATGGAGGCACGAGGCTGCCAGGCTTGGCCCATGTTGCGGTGTGGGGGACAAACCCAAGCCAGCTCTTTAAGCTTTCTGAGCCCATTTCTTCACTTGCCAGATGGAGCTAATTCCAGAATAACCTAACACTAGGCTCTGTGGGTTTACAAAACACCACCATCACGGACCAGTCTGAGTCTGTCCCTGCTGTACCCCAAGGGTACAGACCAATATGACAACGACTCAAGAAACCAACCCTTCACATAGACCCGAGTCCTTCAGGGTTTGTCACATGCTCATTGGGAACACTGCTGCCCCTCAGGGCTGGTGTTAGGACAAGAAACCAGGGAACAGCCAGTAGGGAAGAGGTCAGAAAAGCCTTCTAGCAGTTTCCTTTCCTAGGGCCCAGAATAACCAGAAAAAAAAAAAATTCTCAGACCAGTTCATTGACAATCAACAAACATGTGGTACCAGGAAAAGGGACCGGAAGAGAAGGGAGGGGAGGATAAAGAGGGGAGAGGAAAAGAAGATGGGGGGAGGAGGGGGAGAGGGGAAGGGGGGCCCATAGAAGGGGAGAGAGAACCACTTGCCTTATGAACTCTGTAGCCAACATCATCTGTGCGAAGGGAGAGGCAAAGGTTAGTGGTTCATTTGCCCTGCAGGCCCTGAATCATTTCATCCCCCTACCTAAGCAGGAGAGCCCACCCTTGGTGTGGTCTAGCCTGAAGCCTCACTCCTCTGGTCTGGGACCTGCCAGCAGGCTTCCCAGAGCCTGGTCAGACCACCCCTTGACACTCACACTCATGTTCCACTCAGCCACACGGGGACCTGGGCACCTCTGTCCTGACCCTCTGCGGTCAACACGACTGCTCAGTCCTCACGAGACAGACTCTGACACGCAGCCCCTCCACCAGGACCTCACTGCTGTGGCTGACACTGGGCCTGTGTGTGTGTGATCCTCATGTTTTCTGAACTCCTCCTACTCTCTGCCCCTTCCTCCTGCTCATTCTTTAGGCCTTTCCTCCAGAAAGCTGCCCTACAGGCTGGGTGC